TGGGGGATGGCCATGCCGCAATCCCTTCTCCATTCTCCTCTCGGGATCTTGGGCACACATGCACACACGCCCGGTGTGAGTTTAAGCCACTGGATCTGGGACTCGAACCATAGTTGACTACGTGGGAGTCCAGCAACATAGCCATTATGCTAACTGCTGGTCCCCCCTTGTCTTCTGTTCTTAACTATGAAGTATGTTGTAGAGGAATTCTGACTTAAAAGCCATCAAAGTTGAATTATACATTGATGTATTTGGTGTTAAGAAAGCTGTATAATTTTTTTATGCCTCAGTTTCTTTGATTATAAAATGCCGAGACCAGCAGATGGTGTAATGGTTACATTGCTGGACTCCCATGTAGTTGACCACAGTTCGAGTCCTGGACCTGGCAGTTTAAAACTCACAATGGGCATGTGCCCAAAATCCTGAGAGGAGAATGGAGGAGAAGGGATTAGGGCATGACTATCCCCCCGGGACGTGATTCTTGTTTTCTGTCTCTTGTCTCTCTGGTGAGCACACGTTCCCTATAGCAAAAATCTCTCTCAAAAATAAAATAAAATGCATAGTTGAGGCAGAATTTCCAAGGACCCTCCTAGCTCTAAAATCCTAAGATTCCATGATGTTGTAGCTTTCCCATTTTTTCCTACTGTACTGACCTTATTTATTCGATTAATATTCACACATGTACCTTGTATTTACAGCAGCTACACGTGTGAGCGAATCAAAAGAAAAAGAATGCAGGATTCCTGCCTTTGAATTGCTCACTGACTGTCTGGAGACAATAGGTATCTGTGTATTCACATTCAGTTATTTGAGTCTGTCCCTATTCTGTCAGAACGGATCCATATACTGAGGGAATACCAGCTACTTGAGCTCCGACCTAATTTCTGGGTGAGGAGCAGGACTGCCCTTGAACACGGTGAAAAGCTTTAACAATTTTTTTCTAATCCATCTAAGAATCCCCACTGTAGTTGTTTCGTAGTATTATTTCATGCTGTCTGAGAACTGAGGAGCTTGGACTCATTGTGACTGAGTACATGATCACTGTACATTGTGTCTTTCTGTCTGTGTGTTCATATGTATGTATATATGTGCATGTGTGTTTTATGTTTGTATAATCATGTTCAAGTATAATGTTCTAAATGATAGCAAATGACCAACAAGCCTTTCCCCACCATACATGCTGGTACTTTGTGCTCGGGTTTGTTTCTGTACCTACTTGGTAACAGGGTATTGCCTAACTTTTGGAAATTTTGGAAGCCTAACTTTCCCTTTCATAGACTGTATGTACTTTCTGATAAAAATATACCACAGGGATTAAGGACAGTGGGATACAGGGGTCCAGAGGGAGTGTGTGTGTGTGTTTATGAAAGGGCAGCATCAGGCATGGAGCTACCCTGTATCTGATTTTGGTGATGGGTATGGATTTTTGTTTTTGTTTTCAAGTTTGTTTATTATTCTGTGAGCGAGAGAGACAGCACCCCCAGTGGAGTCTTGTTGCCACAGTCCACCCCAGCTCAGCTAGCACCTGAACATGGTCACACACGTGCCTGGTATAGTCAGTCATTGGGCATAAGCCTGAAGCCTTCCCATGTGGGTCAGCCTTGCAGAACATTGTATTTTCCTGCTTCACTTCCCAGGCCCCTGGGTACGTGGCTTTATGCCTACATGAAAAAAACTGTAGGCATAGAGGGCAACACCAGGGACCAGCAGGTGGCGTGGTGGTTAAGGCACTGAATTCCCATGCGCCTGACCATGGTTCAAGTTCCAGACCTGGCGGTTTACTTTCTCATTTTCCCTCTCTCTGTCTCTCTCTGGTCAAAATTAAAAATAAATAAATAATTCTTTAAACAGACATAAAAAAGGGCAGCACCAGGGATCCTTTTGATGAAACCATGCTGTATTTTATCTTTGGTGATGTCTACATGATGTGGGTATATATGATACAACTGCATAGAATAAAATACAGACTCACACACACCCTCACACACATGCACACAGAACTATACCATTCCACACACAAATACAACTAAATTTGGTAAATTTGGTAAATCAGAATAAGGCCAATTGTATAGTATCCCAGCTAGGATATTCTACAACTTTACAAGAGGTTACCATTGGATAGAACTGGATAAAAGGGATACTAGAGCTCCATTTTTCTTTCAGCTAATACGAATATACAGTTATCTCAAAGTGAAAGCTTTGATTAAAAATAATAGCAATTTGGGACCAGCATATAGCATAATGGCTACATCTCTGGACTCCCACATAGTTGACCGTGGTTCAAGTGCCGGACTCAGCAACTTAAAACTCACACTGGACGCGTGTGCGTGCGTGCCCAAGATCCCAAGAGGAGAATGGAGGAGAAGGGATTGCGGCATCGCCGTCCCCCTGGGAAGTGATTTCTTGTTTTCTCTCTGTCTCTCCAACAAGCACGCGCGCCTTCTAGCAAAAATCTAAGTAATAATAATAGCAATTTAAAAAGTCTGTGCTGAAAGATGATGGTTTAACATATGTCACTGCAGGTAGCACGTTGGTATATTATTCTGTGGAGCATGACTTTCCAATTATGGTCCAATTTAGCAGATGACTACTAAATTTTCTGGTCCACGTTTTCTTGTGCATATATAGAAAGTAAAGTAATAGCAATGATATGCTGTCTCTATTAGCAGAACTTTGCAAACACTTAAGTAATGCCAGCTTTATTCCAACTTGATCTATATCAAATAGAAATAGAGTTAATCCTAATAATGGTTTAAGTTTTTCATACAGTTCATGGAATCAGAAAAAGGTTTTTGGAAGTTTATTATCTCAAGGAGGAAACATTTGATATTGTTGTGACTGCTGCTGTAAATTAATCTAAAAAATTCAACATCGAAGAAAATGCTATTTGTTTTTTGAGTAGTAAGACAACTATTAAGCTTAGTGAGGCATATAATACTAGTCAAAACAATGTTCTTACTATATTAAGAAACTCAATGTAGCAGAAATGTATTTGGGATTAGTTGTAGCACATTCATAGTTCATAATAGTATCTGAAAAAACCTGATAGTCCACTAATAAAATAACTATAGTTTTAAAAATTTACAAGTGGGGCCAGTAGGTGAGGTTAAGAAAGCTGGATCACACATGAACGACTCTGTGGTTCACAGCCCAGTCCCAGTGGTTTGAAAACCATGTCAGACACATGTGCATGCATGCCCAAAATCCTGAGAGGAGAATGGAGGAGGAGGGCTTGCGGTATGGCTATCCCACTGGGGGACGATTTCTCACTACCCCAAACTCCTGCCAACTCCCTCTCTCTCTGTCTTCTCCAGCAAGCGTATGTACCCTGTAGCAGAGACTGAAAAAAAATATTTACAGATATCTTTATGTAAAGTACTTCAATTCAAAAATCCTTGCAAAAATCTGATGTTGAATTTTTAAAAAATGTTTCAGCAGGTCCGTATTTATGTTGTTTCTTTGCTACCTGTCAACACTAAGATTTTAGAAATACTTGAAAAATGTGTTTTCCAGTCCACATTTATTGCCTCAAATTTTTCAGTGAGCCTGAGGTGGCGTAGTGTGCTAACTAAAAAAAAAAAAAAAAAATCAACACAGATACCCATCCTGACCATTTTTAGCATTCTAACAGGTAACAGGGTTATACTTAGGTTATTTCTCATTTATTCTTTCCACCTTCCATTCCAACATACTTTATTAAATTCTTGACTTAAATAATTTAGGTGCCCCCTCCCCCCACTTCCTATAGATGCATATATACCAGGGACAAATAGAGTTAGGCAAATCTTGTGCCTTTGCTACGTCTACTTCTGTCATTACTAGATATTCTGTGTTGGTTAAAGCTGTGGCTTCTTGATAAGCTTGTGAGGTTTGCCCTGCAGCTTGTTTTCCTCCGAAAGCTTTTGACTTATTAAAGCTTTGTGTGTGTGTGTGTGTGTGTGTGTGTGTGTGTGTTAAAAAGCTATCTTACAGTTACATACAGTAGTTCTGCCTCTACTTATACTCTAAGACTTTGCCAGTGGTATGACCTTTCCATTTGACATTTAAAATGACTCTTTATTAGAGCTTATTAAATTATTCAATTTAAAGAAAATACAATAACAGCATATTGAATCTGTAATAGAACATTGCTCGCTTGGTCAGGAGATATTCGTTGCTTGATGAGATCTCCACTGTATCTGTGGTTAAGGATTTGGTGTAACTGATTCTTTTTAAATAGTAGAAGACTTCTTCAGAAAGGTCGTAGAAAATGGAATTAATATGTGAATTTGTTTTGGTGCAGAGATTTTGAAAGCCATGCATAGTTTTTTTTCATAATGTTCATTTTCTGTTCTTTTAGAAAATTGCTAGAAGGCACATGTACACACCACAGAGAGTGTGTGCTTGCCAGAGAGAGAAAGGGGAAGAAATTGCCCCTCACCATGAGGCACAGTCACGTTGTAATCTCTTCTCCTTTTCTTCGTTCTGTCAGGGTTTGGGGCATGTATGCACACGCACCTGCTGCCAGGGCTGGAATTCAAGCCACAGTCAGCCATATGGGATCTGACTCTCTTAGCCACTAGGCTGTGGGGCTGGCCCTCCATGAACTTTTTTTTTTTTATGTTTTTGCCATAGAGCATGGGCATTCACTGGAGAGAGACAGAGGCAGATAGTGAGAGGGAGAGTGAGACATCACCCCCTGGAGGGAAGGCCACACCACAATCCCCTCTCTTTTGTTCTTCTCTCAGGATATTGAGTACGAGTATACATGTGCTGGGCGTGATTCCCAAGCTGCCAGGTCCAGGACTTGAACTGTGCTTAGATAGAAATCTATTCTTGACTAAAGTGTGTTTTCTGGGAGAACTAGTACTTGAAAATTAACTGATTGACTCTTAACCATATGAAACAATATGCAATCATTTTGTTTACATTTTGTGGTCAACAGAACCTGAAGCATCCACAGGCATGTGAGTGGGAAAGATTTGATTGAACTAACCTGAGTTCACTTCTTATTCTTTTAGGACAGTATTTCTCAAACTCTGAGGCCTGCAAAATTTACAAATTGAGATCTGGCATCATTTTCAGAGAGAAACCTTCAGTAATGTGTAAGTAGTTTTGTTTTTCATTTTGATTTGTTTCAGTTAGCTATTTTCTATATTAAACTCAGTGAAACCGTAATTTACCAGAACTCTTGAGAATTTGAAAGATACTCACCATGAAATAATTATGAGTAACAAGTGACACAAAATAATCTATTGAAAGAAGATGTCCTGGGGCCGGCAGGTGGTGTGGTAGTTGGGGTGCTGGACCCACATGGCTGGTTAAAGTCCCAAACCTAGCAGCTTGCTTTCTCACTCTTCTCCCTTTGGTCAAAATAATAATGCTGCTGTAGCTGCTGCAGCTGCTAATGATAATAAATAAAATTAAATAATTCTCTTTTTTTTAAAAAAAAAAGAAAATGTCTGAAGACGTGACTTGCATATGTATTAACACTGTTAGAAGCAAAATCTTCAATGTGAAGAAGTCGGGTGCTTGAGTTCTTGCCTAGGCTCTTGCATTAATTAGGTGGGTATTTTTTTTTAAAGAATGATTTTATTTAACTTACTTTATTCATTTTAATTTGACTAGAGAAGGACAGAGCAAGAGAGAGAGAAAGCGAGAAAGCAAGCTGCCAGGTCCCAGACTCAAACTGTGTTTGGCCATGTGGGAGTCTAGCACCCTTAACTACCATGTCACCTGCCGGCCCCATCAGCTGGGTCTTCTTAAATAAGCCACCTTTGTGCTTCAGTTTCTTTGGTTATAAAATGATGAACTAGATTATCATTAGGTCTTTCCCTTCCAAGTATGTATAATTCCTGTCTTAATTTTTTTTTTTAATAAATGAAGGATTGATAATCTTTCAAAAGAGAACTGTTGAATCACACATTTATGTTTTGATTTTCTGTTGTTGGTTTTTGCCTGAGGATATTATTGGAGGTGGTATTTCCAAAATCTATTAGGGAGAAGGGAGCCTCCCTTGCTCAAGAGGTCTCCCCCATATAACCCATCAGTTTGAGTTATGAAGCTTACATTTAAGAAATCAAGTTTGCCTTGGATAGGTTAAACCTTTTTAAAAATTTTGTCAGCTTGCTGTTAAATATGGTATGCAAATAAGATTTCTTTCTTTTGAAAATCTCTATGGGATGTTGAAGAGGTGCTAGTTTTCAGGGAAGTGGAGGGAAAGAAAGTAGTGATAACTTCTGTGCTTGAGGCTTTTTTTCAGGAATTATTTTTAAAGTTTTATTTATCATTATTATTTTTAAATTTGCTACAGGACTTGTGCACTTACCAGAGAGAGCTAGGGAGCAGGAGGAGTGAGAAAGCAAGCCACCAGGTCCAGGACTCCAACTGTAGCCAGCCATGTGTGAGTCCAGCACCTTAACCACCACGCCACCTGCTGGCCCCATGTGCATGAGGCTTGTGGGGAGAAACTGATAGGGTAACTTTGAGCAGTGTGAAGGCCAGCCCTTGAATGTAGAAGGATGAGAAGAAAAAACAAAAGGTGCCATGAAAGTATAGAAAGACATGAAGGGGCTGGCAGGTGGCATGGTGGTTAAGAGTACTGGACTCCCACATGGCTGACTGCGGTTCAAGTCTCAGACCTGGCAGCTTGCTTTCTCACTGCCTCCGCCCCACCCCCCCTCTCTCTCTGGTCAACTCTAAATAAATAAATAAATAAATTTAAATAAAATAATATTTTTTTGGGGGGGGGAGAAGAGGGTTTTGCTATAGGGCATGTGCGCTCACCATTAAGACAGAGAGAGAGAGAGACAGAAAGCGAGAAATCACCCCCTGGTGGGGGTTGGCCACGCCATAATCCCTTCTCCTCTTTTCTCCTCTTGGGATCTTGGGCACACACGCACACATGCCCAGTGTGAGTTTAAGCCACCGGATCCGGGACTCGAACCACGGTCGACTACATGAGAGTCCAGTGACATAGCCATTACGCTAACTGCTGGTCCCAATAAAATAATTCTTTAGAAAAAAAGAAAGACATGAGGAAAGGTAACACTAAACAAGAAGGACTTTTATTTCTGTTGTCACCCACTACTAGAACAGTGTCAGATTTCAATAGATATTTATTAAAAATTAATTGGATAAATTGATTACTTATTTGATACATTTCTAATTTTGCCCAGGGTTATTTGTTATCATTGACCCTTGTGATTATTAGTTATTAGACCCAGATATTCTAGTTTACCTATGTCAGAAAATAAAGTATTTAAAGTAATTGAGGTTCAGAAAGATGATTCTGAATTATACAAAAAAAGACATTATGTAATATGCTCAAGGAAGGTTATAAAGTACACATTTATTTAATAAATACTTTTAAAGTACGTACCTACCTACCATTCTTGGAGCACTAGTAGGGAATGGGAAAATAGGCTACCAGTTACAGTACTCAGTTTGATGAACTATTATTATAAAGAGTATTATGTAGTCTTTTAGTATAATTATCGAGATTATAGCACTTTGGAAAATGTTCATTAAATAAACAAATTAAAATATTTATGTTCTATGATTATCATTGTATATGAGAAAAAGGATGTTTTTTATTCTTAAAAAAGATAAGGAAACAGAGAAATACAGATCTGATTTATCATTGTGATGAGATTGTTGATTTTCTTCTTGTCTACTTTGTACAATTCATAAAGTTTAAATGAAAGCCCACATGAATTTAAATTGTTTTGAAAAATAGATTGAACCTGTTTAGACAAGAGAGAGGAAATAGTAGGCAGTCTAAAGGGAAAAGAGCGCAGCTGTCGAAAGGCAGTAGATGAGATTGCCTTGGTTGGAAAAAGTTGAAAGACGAAGTTCAGAAAAGATGAGAATAAGGGTTTTGCATTTAGTTTTGATAATGTAAGAAAGATGTACTAAAATAGGTTATTTACTGGGGATTTATGTAAAAAAGTAAAGAAATAAAATGTATCCTGGCTCGTTTAAGTGAACTGAAGTGGGAATGAGGTATTGAACTGGTCTATTGCGTTATCAACCATTTTCATATATAAGTTTGAGTTTGTAAAGATTTAGCAGCCCCTTCTTGGAAGACTCTTGCTCCCTTTACATGTCAGCAATAGTTGATAATTCTTCAAAAAAATATTCAGAAAGATTTTTGCTATAGGGCATGTGCGATTGCCACAGAGACAGAGAGACAGAAAGGGAGAAATCCCCCACCAGAGGGGTTGGCCATGCCTCAGTCCTTTCTCTTCCATTCTCCTCTTGGGATCTTGGGCACACACACACGTGCCTATGTCTTGAGTTTTAAGCCGCCTGATCTGGGGCTTGAACTCTGGTCAACTATGGGGGAGTCCAAAGATGTAACAATTATGCCACCTGCTGACCCTAATTTTTCAACATTTTTATGACCAGAATTTTTTTGTTGTTTTCTTCACATATATAATTTTAAATGTTTCCTGTTTTAAATGTTTCTACTCTTGCTTTTTCTTGTCCATAGAATTAACCCAGGTAGCAAACCCTTAAGTACTTTGGCTTAATGAATATGAATTAATTGAGCAGAGATTGAAAAGGAGAAAACCAAATTAGTTTCTATTAGTTGCTGTATGAGAAAGAGCATTCTTGCAATGACTTCTCAATCTCGTTCTCTAAACCTTGTAGGAATAGAGAGTGCATCTATCTTGTTTTCTCTTTTTAAGGAAAATAGATGTAATTTAAAGTGAAATAATAATAGCTTAGTAGGTATCTGAACACTTAAAATGCTTACAAATGTTTTATCTCATGAGCTAATTCCTTAAGTTATCAATGTAGCTTTTTTTTTTTTTTTTGGAGAGGTTTTTGCTATAGGGCGCGTACGCTCACCAGACAGAGACAGAGAGACAGAAAGCAAGAAATCACCCCCCAGGGGGGATGGTCACACCGCAATCCCTTCTCCTCCATTCTCCTCTTGGGATCTTGGGCACACACGCACATGTGTCCGGCGTGAGTTTAAGCCACTGGGTCTGGGACTCAAACCGCGGTCGACTACATGGGAGTCCAGCGACATAGCCATTACGCTAACTGCTAGTCGTCAATGTAGCATGTTGAACAAAAAGAATTTTTTCTTAAATTTTGGTTACCTCAACTTGAGTGAAATCAGGATTTTATGTTTCTGTGATTATTTAGAGGACTATTAGGCCTAAAAAATTTTTTTGTGATCCCCAGTTTCCAAAAATGAATGTAAAGAAATGTACTTTCTGATTATTTAGGGTTTTTCTTAACTCTAATATCTAGCACTAAAAGTCCACGTTTTCTGTGTGACTGGAATTTATTTCATCTAATGCTCTTCCAAGTAATTTATAGTGGTTCTTGCCAGTGCAAGGCATTTTTTTCTTAAAATGTAGTTAGTTTTTTTTTATAAATATTGCAAATTTCATATGCCGGTATAAGTTTCTTATTTTAAAAGAATTGTTAGAAAATACTAACTATTCACTTCTATATTAAAGATTTTTAGTATTTTCGATGTCTTAGAATTTTTAACAATGTCTTTGTTTTAGTTTCCAACCCCCAAACTTACGTTAAAAACAGTTTACTTGGGGCCAGCAGGTGATGTAGTGGTTAAGGTGATGTACTCCTCCTACATGGTCGACTAGGTTCAAATGCCAGACCTGGTGGCTTGAAAATCACACTAGCGGGCCAGCAGGTGGCTTGGTGGTTGAGATGCTGGACATTCCCACATGGCTGACCACAGTTCAAGTCCCAGACCTGGTGGCTTGTTTTTTCACTTTCCTTCTTTCTGTGTGTCTTTCTCTGGTCAAATTTAAATAAATGAATGAATAAATTAAATTAAATTAATAATTCTTAAAAAAGAACTAAAGAAAATCACACTAGGCTCTTGTGTGTGTATGCCTAAAATCTTGAGAGGAGAATGGAGGAGAAGGGATTGCGGTGTGGCCATCCCCCCAGAGGGTGATTTCTCACATTTTTTTCTTTCTCTGCAGCAAATACATGCACCCTATGGCAAAAAGCTCTCTCTTTAAAAAAACTTTTTAAAAATAGCTTACTTAAGGACCAGCAGGTGGTATGGAAGTTAAGGCGACTGGATCCCACATGGATGACTCCATGGTTCAAG